TTCATATCTTCATATATTCAAATATTCATATCTTCAAATCTTCATATATACAAATATTCAAATCTTCAAATTTTCATTAGGTATGAATACAATTATTAATATAACCTTCATTAGAATGAAAATAGTCGACAACGCCAAAGCAACAAATAAAAAACTAATCGACTTCTTCTATAAACTAAGCAGCCCCAATTCTTCGATTTTTGAAAATTTCCCTAACTTTTCTATAGTTCTTTTGCCTTTGATAAAAGCCTAACTTTTTTTTATAATATTGAAAAATCATAGATAGAGGAGGTACAGGGAGAAAAAGAAAGAAAAAAAAGCATAGAGAGAGAGGGGGTGCAGAGAGGCTGCAGGGCCAGGGAGGAAAAGAAAAAAATAGCGAGAGATAGAAAAAAAGCTGAGAAAGAGCTCAAGAGAAAATAATAGATCTAATAAAATAAGTATACATAATATTATTATATATTGCTATAAATGGTAATAATTAAAAATATGTTTAAAAATAGTAATTATTAATTAAAAGGGACTTATTCAAGTAATTAATCCTTTATATATTATACTAGATGGGGAAGGCCCGCGGCAACCACAGGCCCAATAGTCAAAATATTATGCTTGTAAAAGTATTAATATTAATGAATGAAGGGTGATTACTTTTGCAGAAGATGGATAATATCATATATTATATACTATTAGATATATTGAGAATATGTACAACATACATCAGTATGATGCCGACTTGAACGATCTGCAAATACTAACTAATATAATACAACCAAAATAATATAGCAGATGTTTCAGTTTTGGTATATAAGATTAGCATGTCATTGTTATCATATGTAGAGGACGCTGGAGTTTGCTTCTTAGTAGCTAATCTTCTTCATTCAAAAAATCATAGCATAGGGAGACTGATTCATTTTATTCTCCCTATTAAGCAAAAGTTACAAAATGGAGCGAGGGAGTTCCTGTAATTAGACAGTTTAAAGTCTGTCAGAAACTGAAAATATGGCAACACATAGCAAAACAATTTAAATATTAACCTCTAAAGTGGCACATTCTATATGCCCATTAGGTATCAAATAGAAAGAAATTCAAGGAATGACGATAAAAGTGATAGATTTCGTGTTGAATCTCTTTGTGATCAGCTCTATAATTAGTATAATTGAGGTTTATCATTGTTGGAATCAATGTTTGAGAGTATAGATGCTCCATAAGTGTATTCAATTGTTGATATGGTAATAATTCACAATTTATTTCCGTAAAAATAAAAGACATTTGAATGCTTAATAACATGACAAACACACACAACTCACTGCCCAAAAGAGGTGGTCCTAACTCTGAAGTAATGAAGTTGCTCAATTATTATAACTAAAATAATCTAATTCAAAACTAATAATCAAAATAGCATATTTGCACGCCACACAGATGTTAAACAAAAACCATAACAAAATTTTGAAAATTGAAAGCAAAGAAGAGCAAATACAAAAGATGTTGAAAGCTGCTCCGAATTAAAGTAAATGCTGTAAGATTAGGACTTCTCAAAATGAAAAAAGGGAAACAAGAAGAAATTTACAGTATAGTAATCAAGCTGCTCAATTGTTATAACTAAAATAATCTAATTTAGATTCTTCATTCTCCATACTTTGTTTCTTATAAAGCAATTTAATTACATTAGTAATCCAACTCAGAATCATCAAAATCCAACACAGTTAAAAAAAATTGAAATCCCAAATGAATGATAACATTGAAGGAAGGAAAATGTAGTGGGTTGTAAATTCTTGCAGTAGTATATTTCCTGGATTTCAAAAGACTTGCACAACTTACTGATCACATTATGAACGATATTCTTCCAATACGTCAATGATTCTACCTTTACTTTTTAAAAGTGTGTTAGTTTTTTTTAGCAGAACTTTTTGAAATACTTCTAAATATTTGGAATTGTTAATCATTGTGACTTATAGTTTGGTGTCAAAGTGAGATGTAGACTGACCTTTTACACCTTTTTGGTTGGTGTGGGTGGTTCAAGTTTCGGTGTCGCATTTGAAGAACCAGTTGTAGTAGTTGTTGCCATCTCCTCCACCTCACTTATTTCCAAAGGCCTTATCTTTTTAGAATTCCTATCAGTAGTGCTCTGTGGAGTATGTTCCTTTTCCATGTACGAAAGAATGGACAAAGTTACATGCATGCTATTTGAGCTGCCCCAAGATGACTTCCTTAGCTGAATTTGAAATAGTTTGTTTGACAACATCTGATGGACATGATTAAGAGACAATGATTGTCGTTGTAAGTGTAAAGAGTTACAACAAACACTTTAGAACTAAGCATATATGCTAAACTATTTCTGCTCAAGATATATGGTATTGTGACAATACATGTGTACAAGTAGCCAGCGGGAATGAGAGATCACCTTAGCGCAAGTTATGTCAAATATGTCTTCCGCTGTCATGGAGAGTAATTTTTCTCCCAATTCAGCAGAGATAGATGATGTGGGTGTAGCAGTACCATCAATAAGATCAATTTGAAAGATACACCTGAAATCATGGCAAGTTTAAAATTTGTGTATAATATACGCTATATTTTGTACAAACTATAATTTACAGGTCAAAAGTATAATACCGAGGCACTAATGCTGTTTTACGATTGCATTTTGGACATTCAAAAGCCTTTCTATCCTTTGTGCGCTTCTTCTGTTTGCATCCTGAGCATTCAAGCACACAAAACTCTTGGAATTCATCTGATATGGCCATTTCTACCTCAACATAGAACAATCCCATCTGTCGGAAAATATCATATACATAATACGTGTTAAATTACTCATGAGTAAATATAATTTGTTTTTATTATTTAGCCAAAGCTAGACAATGAGAAAATTAATAAGCATACTCTCAAATGACCAGCTTCAAATATGACTTACAGAAGTTGTTGATGACATTTCTGCAATAGAGATAACTTGTTGGCCAGCAGGGGCAGATGAGCTTGTTGAGGTTTTCTCTGATGCACGACTTAACAACATTCTTTTGTTTTCTTTTGCCCTATTGTTATAACAGATAATATGTTTAGTAGGTTCTTTACATGCAAATTAAAGCTAGAGAATAATGATGAAATGTGAGTACCAGTTGATAAGTTCTACTGCCTGTGGGTAATTAGGATCCACACGTACTGTGGAATTGAACCTAGTCTGCAGTGACAACCATGTATAACACATAACTTGTATAATGTTTTGTTATTATCTAAAATTATGTTGGTAAAAAGTTCAGCGCATATGTACCTTGATAAGTAGAGATTCCTATACTCCTTCCGAGGATTACAATCAGATCTGCCTTTGTTGCCATTTTAGCTGCAATTTCATTTCCTTTTATTTCTCTGAAATCCTCCCATAGAGTGAGGAGAAACTGATTTTTCTTGAGAACGTGAGGAGAGAAGACTAAGTACCATGATAACGCCCAGACCATAACTGATGATCCGATCAAATAAATCAAAAAATTCTTTACTCATTCAAAATATTTTCAGAAAATGGGAAAATAGAAGGTGAAATCTTATACTTACTGATTGTCACAGAGGGTAATTTCTCGACGCTTATGATGACTGCGACTTGCGTGTTTTTGAGGACCACAACGAAGAACGATTGCCAGTATATCTGCTTATATAATACATAATGAAATGTTGTAAGTGTGTGTATCAGTAAACATGTATATTTTAGCCTGATAATAGCTATTAGGATTTATATACCAATTTCAGCAGAAGAATCAACCATCATATGAGGAATGCGGTCAAAGGTTGTGATATTCAGCTTGGCTGGTGGTGGAAGTGGTTTCTCAAGTTCATTAGATGGTTTGATATGTTCAATTACTGTTTCTTTGTCAAGAATCCAGTAAAATTTATGTATTGGCTTGCCGTATGAAGTTGGCGAGACTTTGACTTTTGTAGTAGAGATGAGGTAGGTATTGATGAGTTTAATCTTATCTGCATACTGCTCAATTTCATCGACATACATAACTGCCTTAATCTGGCATTCCTGAAAGTAAGAGTTATAGCAAGCTGAGATTAACTAAGTTGAGATTAACTGTAGCTACTTACCAACAGTAAAACCAAGGAAAAATGTTCATATGAGGTAAAAAGAAAAAGAAGAATATTCATAAGATAAAATATAATAATGAGCTGACCTCTTCATCTTCGAAAATCAAATTTGGAATCTACATTTCTTGTCAGGACTTTCTCGCGGGCGTCAGATTTCGACAATTTGAACTTTGCAAATCCAATCTCGTGTTGCTAATTCTATTCGGTTGATGTTCAATCTTAGTACCATGTTTGTACGAAATATATTTAACGAAACAATAGTATCTGCAGGATAGCATGACTATTGAGTCAAAGTCCTTTCTTTTTTGTGTTTTTATGAACAGGGGTGATTAAATTAGGAACATGCAACAACATAATTGCCCTCGATATACTAAAAGTCAGAAAATGTAATGAAAACACAATATGAATATTTGGAATGAAATTCTGAAGATGCAAGAACATAATTATCCCTAACTTACTGAAACATTAGAAAATATAATAAATACCCCCAAATCTGTCTGCTAAGTAATAAAATTGGAATTTTAAGTGAAAATACTAACTGTAATTTTGTCCTATTTTGATTTTCTCTTTTGGTGACAAGCAAAATCTGCAAGAAAAATTGAAAATGGGAAGAGGAAAAACATGAAAGGGGAAAAAAATACCTGAGAAAGGGAGCAAAAGTTTTTCTTCAATGGAAGCCTATTAAATTTGTGCTCTATGAGTAATAAATATATATTACCTTACCCTTATTTAGAAAGTACACTAAAAGTACATGTGTCTTCTTAAAAATTGATGGGATTTTGGTAGGCAATGAAATTGTGCCAAAAAAGAGACAAAATCATTACATTTGGTAGTCAAATGTAATGATTTTGTCTCTTTTTTGGCACAATTTCATTCCCTACCAAAATCCCATCAATTTTTAAGAAGACACATGTAATTTTAGTGTCCTTCCTAATTTAACTATCAAATGTAATGATTTTGTCTCTTTTTTGGCACAATTTCATTGCCTACCAAAACCCCATCAAATTTTAAGAAGACACATGTACTTTTAGTGTCCTTTCTAAATAAGGGTAATATCTATCTATCTATCTATCTATATTATATATATATATAGGCCTTATATAAATTTGGCAGCTCTTTCATTTATGTTTGTGGATGACAGTGAGATTGTGTGACAAATGTATTACATATATAAAAAACCTAAAAAAAAACTCATACTGCTCTAAAATAATGACATTTTAAAATCACAGAGAGCCATAACAGTACGTACAATATAGTAGAAGAGGACTTTAAGCCTATGAAATAAGTTCAGTTAAATGTAGGAGAATTCCAAATTTGACGTATGAAGGAAAGAGGAAAGAGTCTATCTTACTTAAAAGTCAAAAAAGGGGAAGTTTCTGTCTTAATTTCACTTCTTTGAGCAGGCTACTAACGTACAACGTGCTATTTGTGTGTTGTTAATTAATCAATTTTAAAAAGAGGAATGGACCATGACAAAAAATTGGTCGAAAGAGATGCCCCTCATAACTCCCAATATATGTCGAACAATGGACCTAAAATTTTTTAGAAATTAAGTAGATCATTAGTGCTAACCTCAGATACCCTTGTTTCAATTGCTCCTTTAAGACATTGAATCACTTTTTTTCGTTCTGCGTCTGATTTTACCAGGAAACATTTATATGTCTTATGCAGTACTGCTTCAATGAGAACAAAGTTTGTAATATTAGTTCACAAATGTTCAGAAGAATAAACCATGAAAGAGATTTCAAAACAAATAGAAAATTGTGGTACCTGGTGCACTACTGGTACTTCAGCATCTACATTGGCATGGAAAATGACATATTGCATATCGGGCAATGTAAAAATTGTATGAAAGAGAAGCTTTGGTCTATCCTTGCACCGGATTGTGACAACGGAGTAGTCCTTATCTTACCAATAAAGGATACTCACATTAGGCCTCTCTTTTTCATCCAATCCTTCACCAGCAACACGCTCAAAATCTTGGTCTGCCAACATTAGTTGGTTAAGGCCTTCTCTCGGTATGAGAGACCTCATCAGATACTATTGTCTTAGAATTCTTTAATTTATTGCTACATCTAAGTGCATTGCACAATAGTTGCTTCATCATAGATAACCTTTCCCGATCATTAATTGTACCTCCCGTTTCCTCACCAGTAACTTGCATTATAACTACTGCTGGGGCATTATGAGTCCACACCTTAGCATTAACCACATTGCATTTGAGATTTGTGAGGGTAGTGCTCAGCTCATACAATAGCCCCGGTCTATCACTCGGGCTATTGACTCGGGAAAGATCATCAGATATCATAGATATACACCTAGAGAAGTAGCAGGTGAGATCTGACGCAAATATATATTGGAATTCATACTGCAGGGGAAAGGAAATCACTTATCAAGATGATAAACCTCACTAATCATAACAACACTACATAGAAGCCTTGTACCCTCTCATAATTCTCAACAATAATACTAAGACAAAATATCAAATTTGAATGTAATCAACTAATATCATGAGGTTAAAGCTAAAGTTGTTTCAGGCAATCCAACAGAAAGTGCATATAAACTTACTTGCATATCTGGAACGTTGAGCCAACAATAAAATTTGAATAACCAACATACCATCTTTGCTAGTTCATTCTATTTAGTTCCTATTGATGGATCTCACTACCGAGTGAGACTGTACCATTCATCTGAGAAGGCAAAAATATTGTTTTTTTAGTATGAAAAATTTGGAAATGAGGAACATAACTTCTGCTATTGGATAACATAAGCACATTGAAGCTTGTGGTATGTGAGGAAAGAAGCAAATCTAAGTCACATTATATATCAATCAAGTTTGAGTTTCAGCCCTACGCTTGAAGATTCAAGTACAACAGTTGTTGCTTTCATTTCCTCGAGGAGTAGCAGCTTGCTCAAATTCCTTTAGCAAATCTTGGCTATCCCTCGCGAGCATCATGGGACTCTTTGCACTTCTCTTCCCAACTCTAGAATGAACATGTTCCCACATTGCATCATTTGATTCCTGAAATCTTAACCATCCTATAAAATCCTTTCCTTAAATCTTCAGTTTGCATCTGTATCATATAGGGAGGGTCCTACAAATATTTGGAAATTTCTATTTGAATGTATATAATGTTTTCTGCATATTTAATTATAACATATAGGTTTATCGTCAGTCAATGCTCCGAGAAGAACATGTACAGGTCCCTTCTTTATTTTATTCAGTTCCTTCAATCCCCCAAAAAGACAATATGAGGATTCACATTAAGAAAAAAGAAAAGCTCAAAACAATTAGAGGTGTCAAACATGAAGAAGAGAAACCAAGGGAAAAAAACAATTTAGAAACATGCATGAGTAAATAAAACCTAATTAGGAACATGAAATTACGAAATTCTACAATAAACTACTAAAAAAAGAAGAAAATGCACAATAAAAGAAGTGGAAACAACAGATTATGACTATCAAAAATGCAAAGTTGCCAAGGAAAAAAAGAGAAGAGAGAAGATTTCCCCCATAATAAATAAATACCTTCAATAATTCAGCCAATAATCATCAGAAGAGAAGAATAAAGAACAAATATCAAAAGGGAAGAAAAAATTTGGATGTGAACAGGGAGAAGAACTCAAAAAGATGTTCTTTTTCAGTAAACAAATATCTCAAAAAGGAAGATATTTATTATTGGACAACATAAGAACAATCAAGATAATGTGAGAAGAAGGAATTAGAATATAACTGTCATTTTCATTTCCTTCATAAGTAGCAGCTTTCTCAAATATCTGCGGAAAATCTTCGCTATTCCTATCCAGATCATGAGACTCTTTAGGAAGAGTCAATTTGAGAGCTCCATCTAATAATGACCACTTGGGATTTTAACCCCTGATTATTTAGATGAAAGAACAATACTTTTTAAATGTGATTACAATGAAAGTGTGTAGCATTTATAATAAATCACGTATATTATGTCGCGCGCAAGGTACAAATGAGAAACCGAAAAAGAACAGATAAAGAATTACATAGTCTATATAAATTGAGAGTGATGTCCATCCATGTCTTGTTCATTATCTAGAGGTGTATCCATTTATTAGTTTGCCACTTTCTCATATGAAGAAGAAGTCGAGGAATACAGTAAAGTTTGGTGCTCGAGAAGTAAAAATAGCGTTTCAACGTTATAGCCATTTGTAAGAACACTCTAAAAGTACTTGAGAATTATATTACCCTCTAGAATACTTCAAGTGTGTTTAACAGATGCCACAATTATTTTTGAGAAATGAAAAGTTCAGTTCTCACCTCGCAATTCTGACCATACATCAACTTCATTACAGTCCTCGCGTCTTTATTCAACTAAAAAAAAAGAAGCAAGAAAAACAATATTATTGAATTGTTTATGGAAATCATGACATGTAAATAGAATGCCCAAAAGAAAATTATAAGTGAACATAAACATTATCAGAACATCCAGAGAACAAAAATTATCAATTGAGTATATGATTTTTTTTCTCGTGAAAATGTTTCATGAAACTTTATGGCATAAGTTGATTATGGTAGCATGAACAACTTTGGTTGAAAATGTTGACTGGGATAGAGAAGATATTCATGGAGCAGAGCCCAAATAAACTCAGCAAAACATATACGTTAGATGCTGAAAGATTGAAGAAGAAAGATAGTTTGACGCAATGAAGAAGAGAAAGAAATTACAGTGAGTTGTTAAAAAAATACAGTTTATAATAGCAATATTTTTGACAATATGGCTGAGTTAAAAGTGCAGCGAAGTTTGGCTCAACACATACCAACCATTGACTGAAATTTCGCCAAAAGTATAGCAAACAACTTCGTAAAAAATTCAGCAATAGTAAAAGAAAAAATAGAACAACCGGCGGCTCAGAATACAGCACAAAATGAAGCAGCAAAAGGCCAAAATACAGCAGTGATTCAACCTCAAAATGAGGTGTCAAACAGTAGCAGCCAAACATAAATTATTCTATCAATAAAAATGTGAAAGAGAAGTTATTCTACCAAACATAGGTCAGTACGGTAATGTGAGAAGTTAAATAACAAACAAAGAGAGAAGATAAGCAAGAAAAATTCATTGAAAGTACATTCAACAAAGTTAAGAGCATTAATTGGTATAACAATATGACTGCAAATTTTGTTTACCTCATCATCATTTATTTGCACTTGTATCATCTCAAAAAAAAAGGTTTGAAGCCTTAAGAGGTAGGTCATCTTTGTCATTTCCTTGAGCTAGAACTATATAAACAGTTACCCTTGATAGAATAAGTTGTTCCTGCAATGTAAGCATTTAGGTTAGTTAAAATTAACATTTGAAATTTAACTAATTGGCCAGGCACAATCTGAATTGAAAGCTGAAATTTTAAACTCAAAATCTTAAAATATGATTGCGAGCTAACTCTTAGTTATCTTAAAAAATAGATGAAGTAAAAGAATCCGAAATTTCACAATATGTAGCATGAGGGTGCTTACTTGTTACATTTGTTGGTTTTAAAAGTATCATGAGAATGCTTTTCGAATGATTTCGTCATAAACTACATTATATGTAGAATGATCATCTGTGTCCTCTGCCGTAGGCAGACGTATTAATATTTTTACGTTGTCTGAACATTTTTCTCGAGATAAAGCAACATAAAGTTGTCCATGTGAAAAAACTGATTCACGCAAATATATTCCAACAAAATCTAATGTTTGACCTTGAGCTTTGTTTATAGTCATAGCAAAACATAACCTTATCGGAAATTGTGTTCTTTTGAAGGAAACTGGTAGCTTCTCATCTTGTGATGCTAGTAATGGTATCTTTGGAATAAAAACATGTTTATTTTTAAAATTACCACTGGAAATAGTAGCACTGATAACATGTGACTTAAAATCATGACATATCAATTGTGTACCATTACATAAACCTTCAGTAGGATTTAAGTTTCTTAATAATATAACTGGATAATTTTTTTTCAAAGTTAATCTATAAAGTGGTAAGTTAGCAGGATGTAAGATATGCAAAAAATCTTCAAATTGGCACTGATCATTTGGTTCTATTGTTTCATCAATAGTTGTATACACTGTAGCATCATCGGGAAATCCATGTATAAGCATGCCATTTATTTCATCAACAAAATCATTTTTTGTTGTCAAAATAATACGAAAAGTTATAAAAGATGGATTAGAATGGAATATACGGAAATCAGGATAAGTAACATTAAACAAAATATTCAAAGATTCTATTTCATTTGTAAAGGGAATGATAAAATTATTGGGAATTTCAATTTTGTTGCAGTTGTAGTTTTTTCTTGTCCATTTTCAATTCTCATTAAATATGCACAAAATGCTGGATCTTTTTTTGCACGCATGTTTTCAGATAAGCACAATTTTTTGAGATGATTCCAAATATGAGAGTATAATAAACTTTGACTAATAAAGTCTTCTTTTTTTCCACTACGAACAACAAGAAGTGTTTGTCTAAAGTCTCCCCCAAAAACTACTACTTTTCCACCAAAAAGTCTTTTTGTATTCATAAGATCTTTTAAAAGTGTATCAAGAGCTTCAATCGTCTTTTTTTGCCATTGAGACCTCATCCCAAATAATTAACTTTGAATCTCGAATTAGAGTCGCTAACGAACTCTGTTTACTAATATTGCAAGTGAAATTCTCATCGATGTCAATAGGAATTTTGAAACGTGAATGAGCTATTCGTCCTCCTGGAAGTATTGAAGCTTCCACACCAGAACTTGCAGTTGCCAAAGCTATGCATCCTTTTGTTCTTACAGCAGCCAACAAAGCTCGATAAAGAAATGTTTTTCCAGTTCCACCAGGACCATCAATGAAATAAGCTCCTGATTTATTGGAATATACTCTTTCAAGAATTATGTCATATGCCCTTTTTTGTTGAACATTTAATTTGCTTTGTAGAAGTATATCTTCTTCAGACACTATTATATTTCTTTCGAAATATATTTCTTTCGCCTCATTGTTCTAGAAGAGCTAACATTTCCAAATATATCTTTGAATTCATTTATGTTACGTCCCATTGAAAGTAGAACTTCATTGATATGATTTAAAACTAACTGCTGGATATCGTTTTTTGTAACATTTGAAATTGTTTTAACATCTTCCGACATAGAGTCTTCACATTTTTTCCAAAGATCTTTTAGGTTACCAGGATTAGAATAAACTAATAATGTTGCAAATAGTCTTCTTAAACTATAAGGCATTTGATAGCTTACAGCTTCAGACATACACTCAATTAAGTTGTTATCAGAATGTAATAAGCCTCTTTTTTCTGCAGCTTTCCTAAATGTAGTGTAGCATCTTCCATCCATTGTACGAAGATCTTCGTATGATTTTGGTCTTCTTACGTTCATTAGAAGCAAACTAAGATAATATCTTTCTCCTTCGGTTGGATGACATGTGACAATACATCCAATAGTAAGGCGTTGTTTTCGACGCGACCACATTTTGTATGATGATGACCATACAAAGTGTTAGGGAAACTCTTTATATAGTAAATTGAGATTTATAGCATCGTTATTGATTTTGTTCATAAGAAAAAAATCTGTTAACATCGTTTTCCTTATCATTGGATTGTTTATTATTTGATCCACAGTTTAGTTATTTTTGTAAAGAAACAAATTGTTGTCCATCAAGATGTAATTGCAACTGGCAAACACTTGGAGTCATTTCACTTATTGAAAAAGCAAACAGATGCCATGCAGCCTCCGGTGGAGAAACCCATCTAGTAGATTGGTATTCTTTGATTTCATCTATTTCTACATTAGTATCATTATTATGTACAGAAAATGCAATTTTGTTCATGTCCTTTGCAAATATATTTGTAAGTGTATTTGATAACCTTAATGTCAGAACATATTTCAACATTAATATGACAACCGAATTTCTTCAGTAAAAACGGATTGCACGGAACAATCCAAGAATTATCAATGTTGTGTCCTCTAACTTTGATTGGTGTGATCATTTTTGGTCTTTTGTAAAGAGGATACGAATTCTTTCCTTTGGTTGTTTGTTCAGTAAGTTCTTTTGGATATTTAAACTTACATTTTCCTTCTTTTTGCATGCAAGAATTTGAAGGATTTAAATAGACACAAGGACCATGGATCATGTGCTTGGTCACAAGTTTGTATAGATGATGATCAATATGGGGATCAGGTAATTCAGCACATACAATTTTATCATATGCTTGTGGTGTTAGCAATTTATATCCATCCATAAGTATAATGAGAAAATGGGCATGTGGAAGACCCCGTTTTTGAAACCCAATTGTATACATAAAAGCTTCAACCTTTCCAAATATGTTGTTTTTTTGAATATCTGTTTTAAGTTCTTCTACTTTTGCTCTGAATACTCTACTAACTAAATCAGGTATGTTTTGAACTTCTTCCATTGGCTGTAAATGTTCTTGTATTTCAGGCCAAGAAGGATTACAAGTTATCGTCAAAAATATGTTTGGTTTTCCAAAATGTTGTACCAAAGCAATGGCATCCATATATTTTCGACGCATATCTCTTGGGCCTCCTATGAAACTTCTAGGAAGGAATTTTTGTCTCCCAATATTGGAAGCATCTCTTTCTCCTTGCCTCAATAAATCAATAATTCCTTGAAAGGCCTCAACTCTAAATAGATCTTGATTAAATGAAACAAAATCTAATCTTTGTGTCTCAAGTTTTATATATTGGTAAACTATGTATTGTTGAAATACCCTTCCAGAATGTAAAGTTTCATTTGGTTCTTGATCTCTTATTTGAATTTTATAACAATAATATTCACGACAAGAAACAGTCTCTCTTTTTCTCAATCCTTTTGATAAAACTGTAGATTCCATGTGAAGGAGTCCATCAATAGAATTCATGTTCATTATACTTGGTAGCTGCTCATATTCACAATAAATTTGTGTTTTGGAATAACTGTATGTCTTTTTGATTTTTTTAATACCACAATGCCAACCATTTTGACCATAAGGAAACAACAGTGGATATTGCAATGGGTCATAACATCCATAATAGTAATTTACCAATTGACTTATGTTACTATGAGTGTAAATTCGAATATGTGGTATGAAAATTTTATCATTTAATTGATCTTCAATCCAAATTGCCCCAACTTCGGATGCAGTTGGTAAGTTAATTATGTGTTCTTTGGTCTAAATTAGAACTTGAGTTTAGAGCAATATAAAATTCAGATAAATTTGGAACAACTGTTAACGATTTTAGAAAAGTAGAATAAGGATTAAGTTTTAGTATATCCATGAGCTTTGTAACAATCATCTCATTAAGATTATCTGATAACGTCATTCGATTTGTTAGCTCATTTTCGTTATCATAGAAATATAACTGTAAATTTTTTCCTTTTCCTGCTGAGGGTATCAAATCATCAATGAAGTGATACATTTGTCCTTGGACTTTAAATGTATAGATGCCACGATTTCTCTTTGCTAATTTTCTATCATAATGTACTCCAAATGAAGTGAATGCAAACATATTATTGTAGGCTCTACTGTAAGTGCGTAAATGTTGACATTCTTTCGAGTCACCCAAGAACAAATTTCACAACTCAGTAGGCATGTTATGAGAAGTTAGTCTAATTGATCCATTATCACAACAAAAACCTGGAGATTCATATTGAAACCTTTTTGCTGCACAAAATTTGCAATTTGGGACTTTCTTTAAAAGTAAGTAATCTTTTGGCAATAAATTATCATTTTGTAGATTGACTTCTAACTTATTTCTACCTGTGCATGGTAAAAACAATTATTTGTTATATATAAGGCACGACAATACATGTTTTTTTATTACTTTGGTAGAAAGAAGCATACCTCTATTTGCAGTAAGTCTTGAACTTAATTTAGTTGCAACATGAGATGCAGTTGATGTTGATCCTAGTATGAGGAATAACAATATTTAGAGACAGTTAGCCAATTATTAAAAATGAATATAGTCAAAATAGTTGAAGTAATATTTCTGAACTCACCTACTTCGAAGGTAGATAAGCAATTAACTATACGTTCTCCTCTAGTTGAAGTAACTGGTAGGTTTGTAGGTTCGGAAGCTTCAACTACAAAATGAGGAAAATAACTCTAGTAAGAGTAGGTTAGCTGGAGCGTCTAACTATAGCTATAGATATTCAGAAGAGAGATTTGACAGAAGGAAGATAAGAATATGGTTAGCTGGCCTTGTTGAGGAGATAACGAAGAAGTACTGATTATAAGAGCGCCAGTACTATTTGATTGATGAAGGAGTTTTTTGTCTTTTCAATTCAGCCCTTTTTTCTCTTAGCTGGGATAAAAATAATTCCTTTCTCTTCGGTGACATCTATGCATATCTAGCACGATGACAGAAATTTTTGTCAGAAGTTCTTTCTTGGACAGACACATTATCTCTTTTTTCTTCCATTCCCGTTTCGAGTAGTTCATGATTTGTTAAATTAATTTATAACTTAATGTAATGTGGAAAAAATACGTAGAATTGACACAAAAAAATGCAGACAGTAGTAAATGACTGTAACAGGAGAACCATTGGGATAAAATAGCATACATTTGAGACATATCAATGTAGCATTTGGGAAAATAAGAATTACAATGAAAATAATACAAACAGAATAGTGTAATTTGTTTTCTAGCAAGCACTTTCAAGATAAAAAGCAAATTATTTCAAGATAAGAACCAAATTATCCTTAAATTGAAGGACATGCAGACCTAAATATATATCCAAAGAAGAATGAGAGTAGCCACCATCATAGGCCCTTTCTCAAGAGCTGGACAGATTAGGAAGAGAACGAAATTTTAATTTAAAGCAGGCAACATATACATATTCACAATTATATAATGAAAAAATCCAAAATATAAAAAAAATAGTAAAAACTCGTGTTTATTGAAAAATGGACGAAAAGTCCTTTCGTTAGAATAATAATAATATATACCCATTAAATTAGATTTAGCAAAATCAAAGGAATTAGTTCAGGTCATAATGTAGATATATTTGATTGGACAACTACATATTACAATAGCTGAAAAAGTAAATGAAATTTTAAAAAATCTGAAAAGGAGAAATAGAAGTTGAGTGAGATAGATGTAGCTGAAAAAGTAGACGAAGAAGATGACAGGAAAAGACTTGAAGAGAATAGAAAAAGCAGTATGTGTTTTCATTAACCGCATACAAACACCTTTGTTGGTAGAACACTAATTTACTAAATCTAAATAGATGAAGATGAACCAATTACGATAGTTTTTGATAAATGAATTTTTAATTCACCGGAGAATGAAAATGAGGGCATAATTAGGCTAAAGTTTGAGAAAACTTTGCTCACTGCAAGTAAAGTTGAGAGAAATAGAAAACATCAATACCACATATGAAGTCCTATTTCATTCAAATTCATCACAAATCAAAAGCTAAGGATCCTTTCACTTCATTTGAGATTTAAATGATAAATTGTTCATCAGTTTGCTATTAGAACCTCTTTATCACATTCAGGTTCTATCACATTCATCCTATATAAGGCTGATTAAATTAGTAGGCTACCATTTTAAACATCGAATGTTGAGAAAAACTTTGTATATATACTGATATACATGAACATAGTGTAGCACAGATACATAATAATATGTACTTGACAGAGTTGAAGTGAAGATTGATTTTGAGTTTCAATTATCCTAAAAATCACAGCTAGAAGAAAAGGAAAGAAATTATCACAAGTACGGAGCCTCAATTGATTGGATACATAAGTTATTTTTAAGTTCAAATATCGATTAAACACAAAAAAAAGATATCTTCAGCTCCTTAGAGAGTTGTCCATTGAATTCAAGAAAACAAGAAAGTTAAAACTTAAAGAACAACAATTCTTCAAGATTGAATCTTCATAGCAAAGGCTGATGAGTCTATGAATAGCTAATATTGTCTTAAATTGAAATAAACTTAGAAATAAACATTAATCATGAACAAAGAGAGTTCAAAAAATAGTTATTTTTCCTCTTCGCAATAGAGAGTACGAATTACCAAGATTTCTAGCAACCTCATAGAAGATATAGAAACCAATCAATGTGGAGTATATGAGTACAAGTTGAAATAATTCTTAGCTTTTCATTATCTTGAAAATGATTGAAACAAACAGCACATTCACATGAAGTTGTGGGTTTTTATGATTCAAACAAACATGACATTTGATGAACCTGTGGATTCTTATGATTCAAACAAACAATATTGCACCTTTTCTTGTATTGAATATAAGGGGTGAGTGAATTAGAAATTTTACGCCTAAGAATTTAACTTTGTTTTCTCAAAAAGAGATCCGATATTGAAAGAGTGAAGGAGAAAGATCCTTAACCAGCAGTAAAAACAACGAACAAAAACAGCAGAGCTATTAAAACAAAAGACTTACAAACTTACCAGAAGCAGATTTGAAGCAGTCAAAGAAAATAAGATGGGAAAGAGTTTAAAGTAGATTCGAAGTGAGAGCTCTGGTTGTTGTTATTGGACTTTTGAGCACAGGTGGACACTCGGTAAAAAGCACCATAGATGCACTATGTACATGAAAGTTATATACATATTTATTTACATTTTCAAACATGCATAGGAAAATAACATACAGTTTATGATACCCAACCTAAGAATCGAAAGAATAGTGGAAAAAACTACCATTATAGGTTCTTTTGAAGAATTGGACACATTACCGAAAAATTGGGGAAGAAGGGAAACCAAAATTTACTGTAACTAAGGATTAGAGCAACATCGAAGAAACATTTGAGGCAAAATTGAGATCCAAAAACGATGATCTGGATTTGATGAAGAGCAAAAGCAAGTGATAGAACAAATCTAGAGCAGACGGTAGATTGTAGTGATGAACAATGAAAGAAGGGATAAAGTGGATACACATGTGACAAATAAATTACCCCAAAGTTAACATTAGAATTACCTATTTGCCCTTGTTCGTCCTTCCCTACTCCCACTTCTAAATAGGAGGAATAATATATTATTATATTGAAATTAATCCATTAAGGTGTCTGTTTGATTTCCTTCTTCAACCTTTCATTTTTATTATTTTAATTCCAAACTTCTTCAACTTTACGCCAATTTTTTCCTACAAATAAAATACACTATTTAGCACAATCCATAAAATTTATGCTCAAAAAGGGCAAATAAAAATACTAAATGTGAGACAAATAATGATAAGAAAATATATTTTTGGCCTCACTTCAAACACCCCACACTTAAAACTTTTGTTCGTCATCGAGTAAACATTAAAGCCCATCTAAAAAAATCATACTAGGAATGCCATAACTTTGTTTAATACGAACAATTAGGTCATATACAATTTTCAAAACATCAAGTACACTTCTCAATCATTATGCAAGACCTTCAAATAAACAACAAACTTCTAACCTCCTACCCTCAAGGAAGGACTTTGCACTCATCAAATTTAAGTTTGCTCACCTATTCTCATCAAAGAAAGATAATAAAATCACCTATCTATCATGAAACACGTGCCCTCACAAAAAGAAATAGTCCACACAGTCAATTTAAAAGATTGAATTAAATTAAAGACTTAACATCAAGGAACAACTCTCACACTCACAAATAAAATTCACATGTATGCACAAAGAACCATAGGCTTGCCCATTATGTACATCTCCACTAATTAAGTATGCTTGAATATAATCAAATATGACTTTAACGGGTTGTAACGTAAGCTAGGGAACGGGTAGGAAAACTATATAATAGTGACTTACACTTCCTTAAGCACTTGGCAATTTTAGACTTCATCACCCATTATTTTCTTCTCTTTATTTTCAGCCGTCTCTTCAACAATTATTTCACAATTAATTCTCATCATCTCAAGAATGCTTCAATCATTTTATTTTTTTCAAAGGATTTGTTTTTTCATGTCACATTTCTTTAAAGAGGGCTTTTAAGCACTTTGTAGTTATCATTGATTACCTTTTCACTCAACTATCCCTTTTTCTTCACAATTAACAATTAGAATAAGTCTATGCTATAATGCTTAAGGGAAGCAAGGTGCAAAACTAGGGATTCAACAAAATAGTTTATGGCAAAATATGGCTGCCAACAAAAGGCTACAGGCTCAAAATGGCTAACTAGTGATATAATATCTGAAAAGACTAAAATTTATCAAACAAATCAAATAAAGCCTATTATCATCTCCTAAACAAAGTAACACTTTTTATTTCTCTTCAATAACATGCAGAACAAGTTCTAGACTAAGATGCAAAACATGGAATAAATAAATTCTCACCACACATGGCACAAGTATCAATCAAGATGGATCAATTCCATTTCTAAAAGAGACACGATCACAACAAACTATAAAATAAAATAAGCTATATACAAAGTCACAACCATGAGCTTAGGTGTCATAGAGTCTGCAATTTTTTATCAATCAAGCATTCACAAGAAAGTACTACTCAAAAATTGGACCTAAATAGCAAGTATCACACCACTCAATAGGGTCTTTTCTTTTCTCTAAAAAAAATTAAAAGAAACTTATTCCTAAAAAAAAAAAAAGACACTCGGTTCAAACGGACTATCCTCAGGAAAAGAACCGAAAATAAAAGCCAAGGAACCCATCCTAAAAAAAAACGACTCAATAAAATAGTAAAAACTAGGAATTTATTCCTCCATCCACACTTGAAAAGATGCTATGTCCCCAAAGCATCAAATAAAATTTAAAACAAGGGTTCGAAAAACTCCCTGAGGCCTTTAGGCCTAGCTAGTAGCATGTTCTCTTAATTTTCATCAAGGGTCAAATGCACCCCACACTTAAACTCAAACACGCTCCTTCACTTCAAACTTTTGGGTACTGAAACTTCCCCTAATTTGTAAAAACAAGACCACAAAAAAAAAAGTGACACTAATAAAAATAAAATAAAATAAAATAAGAAGCACTTACTAATTGGGTTTCCTCCCAATAAGCGCTTAATTTACCATTGCGGCACGACACAAGTAAGTTCACCACTTTTCTTTCAACTTTGAACTTATGAATTGTACTCCTAACTTTGCATCTATGATTCTGCTTCTCTCTAGAGGTGGAGGTATAAAGATAA